ATGACATTTCAAGCCAAATTTATTATTCTTAATCATATCAAAGTAATTATAAGACTTTCAACTACCTTCCTAGAGTCCAACAGTTCATTCATTTATTTTAATGGTAGTGAAATTTACCAGATATCTGCAATATGTGATGGGTCATTCCTGTTACGTGTCTTAGGTGTTTATTCAATGAACAAAGGTTCTGTGGTCAATCTAAGTGTAAAGGAGTTACTCACCAAATATTGCAGTTATCTGGAAGATTTTACTACCAATAAAATAAAAGAGTGAAGAACTGTTGAACTATATGAAGGAAGTTTGAATAGTCATCCAAAAAATAATGCTGTATCACTGTGTGTTATATCAAATAAAAATGTAATATGGAATTATACTTCCATCAGGTATTTACATGAGTTCAGATGTTTGTTCACAATCAGAGGGTTTAAAGGGACACCGCTAGTTCTGCTGACAGTCTTCAAATTTCTACGCAATACAACGTACTCTACTTTTTGAAACTCAAGTAAGAAGGAATAAAGGAGAACAATAGAGGAGAAGAGGCAAGATGCAGCAGTTTAAAAAACACACCAGACGAGGCTGAGTTATACCAGACACATTTAGTTTCTTCAGATAATAAGTTGGGTGGGAGATCCTTTGGGAATTAGAAAACGACTACAGAAGTCCGAGGTAGATCAAACTGTAAACTGGTCCCAGACACACCTATCACTAAAAAAAAATATTCTGACTTAAGTATATCACATAGGACATTTTCGAGTCTGAAACTTTATAGTTTGACATTTTGAAGAACAAAACACAAGACGATTTACATAAGGGATCATCGTCCAATGCAGAAATGCACCTAACTCTATTTGTTGTTCTGTGATATACTATCTTAATGGCGTCTCGATATTCATCTGCTTGCAGCCTGAAGGGTTTCTTTCCAGATAGCCAAGGAGAGCAACCCTCATCAAATGGCACTTTATTAAAGTCACCTTCTTACACAAAGATTTACCGTGGAGCATATGCACCTTCTAAAACTAGTATATTATTAACTGAAACCCGACCGATGGCTGCTATCTTAAGATGGTGGTCGAGCTTGCATATCACAATGACCCAACGACCTGTACTCGTGGAACACTTGTTTCCTAGACGTCTTACCATACCAGAAATCTCTGTTGGATAGTGAGTAGTTAGACGAAAGGCAGTTACCGTTGTACTGTAAATTACTACACTATGATGGGAGTCAGTGGGAGAAGTCATACCGTTGCTAGCCAGATCAACTCAAACACATAAACCTCGGGGAACAACAACAATTAGGATCAGAGTTGGAGCAGTTTTCTCAGTTCGATGGTCATAGGAACAAATAAATTTAAAACGAAGGGCAGTAACTAAGGCAAAATGTTGGAAAGCATTTTCTTTACTTAACTATTTGTTCTATGACATTATGGTTACGTTTCGCTTAAAAAAATAAACCTAAATGTATGCTGCATATAATATTGATTGCTAAGTATCTGTAATATGAATGAAACTCATCATCATGATAAATATCTCTCATAGTACAAAGGTTTTCCAGTATCTTACCTGACCATTTGCGTTGGTTAGTTCGGGAAGGGAGCACCATTGATTTGACAGCAGTCTCTCATTAAGTCTACTAAGTGTCTTCTGACATTCTGTTTGTGTGTCTGCAATGAGATGACTCCATTTATTAGGATCAAGTTGACTGAGCAAGTGAGCGAACTTGAGACGAGCTCGTAAGTAGTATCCCATCGGCCATATCCATTCTGGACCCTAAAAGAGAAGTACAAACATCGTAGTAGTATCCTGAAACAGTAATTATATACATGGCAATAATCAGTTAATTAAAACAAAGGGATACAATTGATTATTAAATTTAAATATAGATTGGCTATCGCTCTACTGATATGCACGAAATAATGGTATACCTTCACCTAAAAATACCAACTTTCATCTTCCTAAATGAAGATTTACTAATTGAAGTTTACTACCGGATCACCAAGTCTCACTATCAGCTGACTAAACAGATTCGATGGAAAATTCTTGGAAATATAATGTCTTAATAAATACAATTTCAATGTTTGTTGAAATCGTGAGACTGGTTTATATGCACATTTGAATATAGTCGTATAACCAATTGAAGAGTGAAATTGCAGTAAGTAATAGTAATGAGAGTTGTTGAACAGGCTGGCTGATCAGTGATCACAATATTTAATTTATACCTTGCGGATGGTGACTTCGCACGCTAGAGACCACGGGAGCTGAAAACAAGAAAAGCCCTTTGGGTGGAAAGACAAAGCTTAGCTGTCAGCTTAAAGTGAAATAGATTTCTTTACGAAGCAAAACCTGATGCTTATAAACAGTCTCTGACATGTTTTGTGAACCTGATTCCGTGATGCAGCTGTGATTTTTGTCTACGATACACCTACCGGTTATTTCTAGTCATGTTGGAAGAATCCTTTCGCCCTGTGTTTTTGAGAGATGTGAAAATATATCACTTTATTAGTTGACTAAAATTGAGAAGTAAAGATTGCTCTTACCTGCAAGACCATCAGCGTAGGTAGGAAACGCTTACAATTCTACCAATATAAACACTCAATTATGTCCAGTCAAGTTATATCATATCAAAGCACCAATAAACATCTTGGGCCATAATAATCAGGTGAAATTACTTAGGACGTAAAATGAAAACAATAAATAATTACTGTATGAACTGACAGTAATAAATAGATACTCTCTTTTTAAATGGATTGCAGTTAAATGAAACGTGATCCAAATTGTGGTTACAGTAGTCAACATCTCACTTGAAGGTAATTAAATCCTATGGTCACAGAATAATCACAATTGTTTCAAGCTTTCATATCTCGAGTGGAACCTAGACGGGGAACGACGAGTCGGGCATTAGAGGCGAGGGTGGCAGGTGGGAGATTGTGTGAGGAGGAAATGAGAGCTTCTGAACTGTCGTGCAATCAGGTTGAAAACCTTGAAGAGAACAGAGTTCCCTGGAGACGTGCTACTGAAGCCCTATGTTCCACTAGGAACCCAAGGGGCAAATATAATCATAAGTTTTTTTGATGTGTCTTATTACTTGTCGAAGATTTACTAGCCTACTAGTTAGCTTTTATGCCCTATCAGTTAGGCATTTAACTAAGCCTACTTTAACTGATATGGGGTGAGATGGTTTGAAGTCTAAGTAGCGATTCGAATCAGAAGGTTTCTTATTGGCACGAATCTCAAAACTTCCGTCATATTTTCGTTCAGTCTTGCAATCCAACATTGCTAGCTCACCTTCTTCACTTTTTAAGTCACAGATAAATGTGATTGCTTCATTAGTGAATTTTTTGTGGCAAGAACTTATTGATGTATTCCAATTTCGGTACTGCAAATGTGTCATCTGCGTATCGGAATCATATCTTTGGAGTAGGACTGAATGTTTGAAAGGTCACCTGTTCTCAACTATCCATATATATGTCTGCGACGATGAGATACTGCTGACCTTATGGTAACGCTTTTAGTTTTTCTCTAGATTTTATTTTGAAACCTAAATGCTGTAGATGTCAGGCCCAATGACACTCCTAGCATGATTTCCCTGAACGGTACCTTAGTCCAATGCGTACGCGCATTGTCATCCCTAAGTCCATTCCTAACTGCCTCTAGAGCTATGTCGATCGGTATATACGTTTAAAGGCTAGTCATGTCAAAACTAACAATTTTTTTTACTTTTATCGACTTTTATGCCATCTAATTTATGCTTTAAGTCATAAGAGTTGGTAGGTCAGGATTATGAGGCCTGATGCAATAACCTGGATTACGAATTTGAATAGTACCATACATTCTACTGGGATTATAAGTCTTGGGCATTAAATTAAACCACTTTGACTCACCTAGAAACGGCTTCGTTCGAGGTATCAGTTTCCGTGTAGATTTCTTGACTTTAATCATAATATTTTCCACTAGTTACTTAATATTCTCAAGTGGTCTTGTTTCTATATGCTCATTCACTTTGCAGATGAAGTTAGATCTGTTTATTACAACTGTTGGGTTGCCTTATTTGGCAACTATTATATTAATATCATTTTTAAGGTTCCTGAGATCTTGTCTTTCTGGTTGGGTAGATTAGGTTACATCTTCTGTCGTTTTAGTGTTAGAGCACACTTTGCTCTTACCTGATCTGAAATTGTCTTATCTATTGAATTTAACACTTTCTGTTTTGGAAATGATATTTAGTTTCAATTCATAAACTTCTAATTCGAAATTGAGGGTATTCTCTAGCACTTTTCCTTTTGTTGAGCTTAGGACTCTGATTGAGAGACTGACAACTCACTTGGAATATTCGCTCATTGGTGATGTGCTATTGTTAATTTCATTATTGTCGACTGCATACTTTTCTGCTATAAGTTTTTTGACATTCTTAATTTGAGTATTTTTGAATTTATTAAGAGCAGCTGATCCTGCCTCATTGCAATTGTCCATCAGAGGCTCAGAGTCTTTTTCACTAACTACTGGTATCAGCTTACATTTTAGTTCTTAGATATAATTTCCGATGTTGTGCAACTTTTTAACTATTCCATGAATTTTTTAGGACCCGTTCTACAGCTCCTTTAACTTTGCCTGTTGGGATTCCAACAGATAAGAGTTAAATGGTCTGCGCTTCATTTCTTCTGTCGCACATTATCTCAACAGTACGCCGACTGCAATACTTTGTGTGAAAGATGTAAGGATATAAGATCAGTTTCATCAGTCAAAAACTATACATTTATCAACAATACATGTGGAAAACAAAAAATGCACCAGAGAGCAAAGTAAAAATATTTAACATAGGCAATAAAACTTGTGAGTAAACATAATATCAGCACGATGAACGTTAATCAATTTAAGCAGTGAATTCTATATCACACGTTGCAAATACCACCTCATCATGGTTTGTTTTGACAATAAGAAGGTTTTTGTCATCAAAACCTCATTTTCATCTGGCTATTGTGAATCTTTTAATAGCTGTATCGTGTTATTATAATTAAGGGAAATACCTCAGGATGTAAAATGAAAACAATAGCTAACTACTGTATAAACAGACAGTATTTTTTGGATATTCTATTTTTAAAAGAACTGCTGTTGAAAGAGACGTGAACCAAATAGTGGCTATAGTAGTCAACAACTCACTTGATGGTAATTAAATCCTCGCGCCAGAGAATAATCAGAACTGTCATTTGAGTTATCATAGTATCCGCGATAAGCTAAATCATCTCGGCTCAAAGTACACATACCCAATGGACCTGCTAATTTTTTTTGAGCTAGTTCCAGAGCATTCCACGCACGTTCAGGTGTAAATAATTCAGAAGCCTGTTAGAAATTTTGTTTTTTTCAAAAAAACACGGTAGGGTAAGAAAATGACAGAAATACCAAAATACTTTAGTGCTTTCCAAGAAAATGTATCTGTCAGTAACGTTACTTCAGATCACATCAATCACAGGTTCTCGAGAATGTTAACTTTAGATGCATTCAAAGATCTCAATGCCGAAAAAAATGGTGGAGATGCTTAATTCCTTTTTTTTCAACTCCTAAGATAATGGAAATTCTTGTTGCAAATACCACAAAATATTCAGCAATGTCTGAATGTTTCTTCTTTGATAAATATTGAAGTAACCTAGGCCATTTCAGTGGAGGTATTGTTTCGATTTAAAGGAAATATGTTTCTATTCTCAAAAAAGTTTGCGCACCATTCGGCTTGAGTGTGTAATTTTACGCTGCTGTATGAAACCGAATAGCATAATAGGAAAATTGTGTTGGAAGTATGTATTATATTTTGAAAAAGCGGTATTAGATTCGCTACCGATGAACGGGTACCTATTATCAGCCACCAACGTTCAACAACTTCCTTGTTGATTCTCAAACTGATTTTACTAACAACTGTTCCATTATCTCTTCCACATATTGGCAAGTTTATGAAACAGTCAATGGATAGAACCACACTTGTTGCTATTTTACATTTAGTCACTGACAGACTAAATCACCTCAGAAATTTGCACACAGGTTCATCGGTTTAAGTTGCCACAGCTCATAGCAGCATGTAAAAAACGCATGAGTAGAAATCGATGATATCGAAGTAGAAAAATGTGCATGAGAGAAAAGACTTCAAAAATGAAAGTTAGTAAAAATGGCTATTTTTGTGGCCATCCTTCCTAACCCACCCATTTCATAGGGAAGACAGCATCAGGAAGGGACTGGTGGTCATTCAGGGGAAACATCTTACTGCTGTCACACCCCAACCAGTCAGCAGTACGAATTTTCCCTCGTATCCGCATCAAAAAAGTGAATTACTATTATTATTATCATTATAGTGTAGTAATTTACACTGTAAAGATAACTGCTTTTTGTCTTGCCACTATCCAACAGAGCTATCTGGCACGGTGGGACCCCCAGGGAACAAGCATCCCAGTCAATGTAGCTCGTTGGGTCATTGAGATATGGAAGCCCGATCAGGTAGTAGCTATCACCTGGGAAACAAGATACCACTGGAAATTCCTTTTAAAGTAACACTATTCACTTACTAACTGTGAAATGCGAAAACCATCTTAAGTTTTCTTGAAAGAGTTACCGTCCTCGCTACAGTGAGTCTTTCTCACTCTACCACTGGAAACCGTTAAAAAGAGATGAACCATTTGAAAGCCAGAAATAGCATGTACACATTTATCTTACATACAAACAGAAGTAGCAAGTATTGAAATCCTCGTCTAATATCACTTGCAAACAACTTCAGTTCACACTATAGCTATTTGTGGTCAGTTAAAGGATTACAGGAATTTATCTGTTGATTGATATATAAATTTGGCACACTTATATGATAGAAAGGCAATGCAGTAAGTTAGACCTTTAGATTATCAAAGTTACTGAGATTTTTTCTTGAAATATGGAGCATATATAAGAATGGTCATAACCTATATTAGGGTGGATATGACAAAGTTGAAACTTTAACAATCCTTTCACCAAATTTTTTACGACTCCATAATCTTGATAGTTACGTTAACTAAGTAAGTTTGTAATCAAAAATCTTCTGCCTTGCTTTAGTAAAGTACCTACCACAAAGATTTAGTCTAGAAGGATTCTTCTTGACTTTCGTAAACGAAATCCTCTCGACCTTGTTATTCCTGCACAAAAATTCGTCAATTTTAGGCACTTGCAGGCTGACTAGCTAGAGGTTACTTGGTTGATTATTAGCAACAATGTGATCGATGCGTACTACTACTGGACTGGTTGCTGACGAAATCTCAGTTCGGATACAAAAGGCCCATCTGGCATTTACCAACTAGCGTCACCTGTGGCGACTACCACAAACAGTTTGTGGGTCTGGGACTGTGCAACACATGTGAGTAGCCGCCTTTCTAGTCATATTCAACATATTTACCTTAGTTTCGAAAAACCGGCAGTAGATCCGTTTATTCGGTATCTAGAACAGTTTATGGGAGGACTCATCAAGTACATCACCAGAATTCTCGCCAGTTTATGTGAAGGCAGTGATCACATATAGACACTGGAATGTGTCACAGTCTCTCTAGGTTCTCTGCGATTGAGCTCAACTTACAAATGATATGCACCTGAATACTGTCATAAAGTATGTTATCTAACATTGACCCCAATTACATCAAAAAAGCAGGGTAACCATTTATGTAGCCATTAAAGTATCTGAAACACGAATACTTTGTACCTCTCTCATAAGTATAAGATGTATTATTAAACCGACCAGATGGTTTCAGCCCCTGGGATTCGTTAGTCAAAATCAAAACGCATAATTGACAGTACTGTTCCCCGTGACTACAGCTGCTGTTAGTTAGATTTACGCAGCTAGTTCGCTATTTAACGAGTAACTGTGATGCTGGGGAAAAACAGACAAAAGCGATGAAACTAAAAGACAATAAGTGATCCATCACACTATAGGTGAGCAGCAGACACTACTATCTCTACTACAAAAGCTCAAATTTCGAAATACGTATCAACAGTGAACGGATTTTACTGAAGAACAATTCCAAGTGATATCTGCTCCACTCTAATCATATATAACATTTTTTCAAGTTGTAATGTTAGTAGACTTGTTGAATTAAATTATAGCATCCAGTGAGGATAATGAGATTCGGGTTCATCAAAACAACTCTGTAGTAGCAAACGTAGAGATAAAGAGGTTTGTTGTTCAGACACTCACTGAATATTATTAAACATAAGTAATTTCTCAATAAACGCACGGTTCAAAAGTCATTTGAGTGAATAAACAATATTTTTTTCGATAACTCCTTCTCCAGGTTCTACAATCATATGCACATATTAAACAATTATACTCCAAAAATGTTAGGTTTTAGCTCATCAGTTTGTTAATAATATTGTTACAGTTGAGAGATAAGTACGCAATTTTTCTAGTGTTGTCTTAGTTATGGAGCAACTTGAAGTACTGTCTTTAAGTATTAAATTTTGTGATAGACGAAACCACATCAATACCATAGATACTGATACACAATTCGAAAAGCTGTGCAGTCAGACAACAGATCTAGTGCTATCATCCAGTCTAGAACTAGAGCGTTTCAAATCGAATCTGGTTGATTGCTGCTATCAATATAACAGTAGTAAACATAACTGTAAAAGTATTTCAAGTAAAAAAATACAGAGAAGCTATTAAAAAGCTTGTAAATGAGGAAAATGTGTTGATTACTAAACCTCATTATAAACGAACAGTTGTCGGTCTTCTTGATACATATGACTACATAAGTAAGATGAATGAAATGGGGAATGATAAGATGAGATTTTAGAGATTGAACGTTCAAAAGGACCTGAGTTAAAAAATAGAAAGCGGACTGACTAAATTTCCAAAGAAATGAGTAGAGCAACATATAATCTCATCAGGGATGTATGACGCTTTGAAACCCACGGGTACTCACTCACCGAGAGTGTATGGCCTACCTAAGATACAAACTAGGAGTGCAGTTAGAACCAGATCATGACAGGCCGAATTCTTCTTATTGTGCTCTAGCGAAATGGCTGGTTACTATTCTCTAACCTTTACACAAACAGCTAGTAAAACATAATGTGGAAGATGTGTTTGGATTTATAGAGAATTAGGGATGCCAAGATCATGAATAAAAATATGATGTCACTGGATGTACCATCCCTATTCACCAATGTTCTTCTTGTTGACAGTGTCAATTGTCTAGGTGAACAGCTAGAAGAAACGTCTATCAATGTTGGAATCCTGATAGATGTACTTGAGGAATTTTGCTCAAATGTACCATGAAAGTTAAACTTAGAATTAACGGTGAACTGTTCAGACAAGTAGATGGAGTTGCAATGGGTCGCTACTGGTTCCCGTATTAGAGGACCTTTTTCTATCGAAACTAGAAAATGCTTTGCTTGAACGACCTACCAGAGAATTTTCATTTTACTGTCGATATATGGATGATATTTTCACCCTGTGGGAAAACAACATGGATAAGTCAAATATACTTAGCAGATTCAATACAGTACACCCACTAGTGAAGTTTACGCGTGAAGAGGAGTCAGGAGGCAAACAACGTTTCCTGATGTTCTTCTGTCAAGGTGTACGGATGGATCGACAAAGAGGAATTTGTTGAGGTAAAGTACATGGACGGGACAATATACACATTTTCTCAGCTTAGTTCCTCTTCAGTACAAACGAAATCTAATAAAAACTCCAAGTTACGGAATAAAAGCTATAGGTTCGTAAGATACAACTGAGGAGCTGACGACTTTGCGCAATACACTAATTTAAAATGGCTATCCTGGTAAATTCACAAAGAAATATGTTAAAAAATAGCAAGAAAGGATATTCTAACAGCTAGCAGGATACCACCGTACATTCGGGTACAACTCAGAGGTGATGTTCTTAGCCAGATATTAACTCACAAACTACGCAGATCAATTCAGAGGGTTTTGAATGCTGGTAAACTACAAATTACATCCTCAGCGCTTCCAGTGGTGACATCGATAATGAAAGATGAACAGCTTAGACTGGCCACTACCTACTGTGTTTATCAATTCGACTGCTCCTGTGGAGCCAGTTGCGTCAACCACTGCACTAGGCATTTAATTTTGCGTGCCCGCAAACACCTCTAGGCGTGGTTACAGGCTCCATATTAGTACACTTGGTTGAAAATAATCATAAGGTGGATATGAATAAGTCGTCTTCCATCCTGTATCGGGTTCCCATCAACTTCCCAAAGGTACCTGACACCGAATCCTTCAGACTAGCACAAACAGTAGCAATCAGGATCGAAAAACCTCAGTTGTGTTCAGAAAAAGCAAGCATTGTAGCTACAACTATCGTGGCCCGATTCAGGACGCAAAAATTAATTTAAATTCTACCCCAAGTATTCTAACTTTCTAACTCTAAACTGTAGATATCCCTTCATTCCCACAATCTGAAATATTTCTAACCTATTCTGTCGCCAAACATGAGAAACAGTCTATCAAGCTATTGTTCCTCAAATTTTTTTCCCTAGCCGATTTTAACTCTATTAAATAAACACCTGACTAAGCCACCCTTATATTGGACTTGATAGTAACTATGGGGACCTAATTAATGTCCTGTTCAAGTCAGCTTCCTGTGTCCAGTCTAATACAGGCGTGGCTCAGTTAGGTGTTTATTTAAGAGTTGATCGCATTTGCATATATGATAAAAAAGAAATAGAAGCCCAATTCCTGACGGATATCCTAGTCGAAATGGATATCCATCAAAATTTATCAACAGATGTGAAACCCGCATAACACTGAAACTGATTAATTAGCACTTTGTCCCTGAGAAAAGTGTGAATTGAATAGCCTAATCTGAAGAAAAGACAGAAATCAGTTGTTAGTAGGAAATACTACACGGTCAAGGTCATCTTAGTCGAGAAGACAAAACCCATGCTTTAACACAAACCTAAACAGCATTTGAACGAGTGCATCACATCTCATTGTGTCTATCAGTTTACATGTATATATGGACGCATATACACAGGGAGAAGCAATCGTGACATGGAGTTAAGAATGGTTGAATATATGCCTGAATGCCTTCAGAAAAATATGATTTAAAATAGCTTAATAAGTGCAGGTGACACACGTCCCTCCTCATCTATGGCAAAACACATACAAGAATGTTCATTCTACCATTGTATAAACAGTTAACATTTGACCAGTCTTAACAACTTCATCAATGTAGATCAACCTGAATCTTTGTTACCTATTTCAATTTTGTCGGTTTGCTTAAGTGCATTGTATAAAATCATTAATCATAAATATTATATTCTATAGGTTGCGAAGCAGCTGAGGAGAATCCACGAAACACATGCATGCTAATTCTGCTACTATTGTTCTTCTTGCTTTATTCAAACTGGTCATAAGATTGACATGAAGACACCCTTTACTGTATCGTATAGATATAGTCAGGGACGCACACTAAGATTTATCAAAGCAGTTGTAATTAGCTCACATTAGGCTGTACGCTGGTATGCATAAAATTTCTAATGTATGAAATATTAAACCAATCACAACAGATTCTTTAGCCTGTGGTAACAAGGAAATGAAGCAAGCAAGCAGTATCTAGATAATAATAATAGTTACAGCAATATTATTGATAATAATAATCTCAACGATGATAAAAATGATGGGAACAGCATGGTACTGAAGACACTTAACCAATGTAGGTCAAAATATAGGAAAATAAAAGTTACTCAATACTGAAGTATGAAATGTGTAATATAAGTGAAAAACTTGGGCACTGTGGTCGAGTGTAATTCCATTTTAGTCTGTTTATTAGAAATATCACACAGTGAAACAGTAGCACTTACTGGATAACGTTTCGGACACAATTTATTGTCTATATTCATATGAATATGGACTAAAATGGTATAAAGTGTGTAGATAATCAAAGTTTAAGCAAAGAAACGTGTGTAAAAGGGGTGGAGAAAGGGAAGGGGATGAAAATTGAATTCATCTTAAAAGTCATTTATCAAGTTTTCTCTGGTCAAGGCACAGATAAACGCTGCACAAACGTTTTCTGCACAACCTCAGGTATATTTAATATGCGATTAAGAATTCTATTCGAAAGATTTATGGGAAAGCGATGGGTGATTTTGAATGCTTTGGTCTTATCTATTACATGACCACTATCAACCAAATGTGACAGAATTAAACTTCGTATTGAATTCACTTGTCCGTGTTCTAGCCATGACGGTAGGTGTTCAACAACGTCTGTTAAGCTACCTAGTTGTATGCTCAATGTAGCTTTCTCCATGGGGGGTAGCCGGATTGACAAACGCACATAGAAGTGGCAGAACTGGGAAGCCTGTTTTTTGTCTGAGCAACAAATGTAGGTCGACTAGAAAATAATAAGCAGCCGTTAGCAGCATAGGAAGTTCTTCTGATCGCTTCAGACAGACTCTGGAATAGAACTTCACCAGGTGTGTCCTTCAAATTGGAGCTTCATGAAAAATGATTTCCGAACAGTCATTTGTTCAGATTTCCTACTTATTTTTTCATGTGTCGTTTGATAAAACTATGAGGGTAACCCATTTCTAACAGCGTGTTATGAATGTTTTCTAACTCCTTTTGCATCAAATCATCGGAGCAGATCCTTCTAGCTCTGCTTGCAAGACATTTAACGTATCTTCTTTATAACAAATAGGCACAGATCTATCTAAGTGAATGTATGTACTGACCCATAGATGTGGTCTTCTTGTACATCCTCCCACCGAGTGGCCCTTCATCTCTTCTAATCAATCTAATTTAAAAATATAGCATATTTTCTTATTCTTCTTCACAAGTGGGAGAGAGAGCGGGATATATGTCAATGAATTTTCTTAACAGTTCTTTTTTAGTCAAGGACAATGAAAGTGTCATCAACATAACGTCCATACATATCTAGGTTATCAATGACATCTTTCAGCAGTCTGTTGACAGATGAACTCTACTGTTTTGAGAAGTGGTACATTGGTAAATAAAAAGGAAAAATCGAAAGATTTGATGTTTCCCGTTCATATTCATCTTTTCTAACCTGGAGATTAAGTCGAATGCATCTTTGATACCATTCTTTACAACTTATTTGTGTAGTGGTATTAGGTCTCCGATCAACAATTTCATGACTTTATGATAGAGGGACATTTCTAAAATCGGAGGAAGACAGAATTGCAGAGAATTCTAAGAAAAAGCTTACTAAACTGATACTAAACATTATGCGTATGCATCATTTGTACTAGCAGATATTTCTTAAATTTGTCACATCAAAATCACTGGCTTTTGTAGTTCTATCATCACCAAATGTTAAGAAAAGGTCAGGAATGATTCAGACAAATCTCAGGTTATTATTATGTATATTCCTTTCCGGTTGGTCTTGAAAAAAATCGTGACTAATTTGTCTTCGGGTCAGCTATCTCTTCAAGAGAAGGAGGAACTTTCGGTTGGATTTAACTTTCCTATTCCTCTAGCACAAATTCCTAATTCAGTGTAAGAGTAAAACTTGTGCACTGTGATAGAATTTAATTCCATCTTTATTGACTTATTAGATTTACCACATAGTGTAACAGTATTGTTTACCGGATTACGTTTCGGACATAATTTATTGTCCTGTGTCCAGTTTGACAATCTTTATGATCAGCTAAGCTCACTTGTTTCAACTTCTCCAGATAATCAGAGTTGCCGCAATGTTAAATTAGTGAATATTGCTCATCAATTTCACAATCCGCGTCTGAGACACGGAAGTACCTTAACTCCTCAGAATTTCAAAGCATTAAAAATATTGCAAAATAATCGGGATATTAACATGCTTAAACCCAACAAAGGATCAGGAGTTGTTATTATAAGTCTGATTACAAATGTAGGATGTTATTCATCCTCAGCTATGAAAGCAAATTTATGGCAGACGTTTCCTTTCATGGGATACGTAAATTGGAAGGAAGAGTGAATTCTATCCTACTGGAACCTCTCAACATGAATGCTATTAACAAATAAGGTTTTAATTACCTGAAAACCAGGGGATCTGAGTATCCGCACCTATGTGGACTTCCCAAAATCCAATATTCTACTCCGTCCATATTGTTTATGTCAGTCAATCACACAAAAACTAGCAAAATGACTGGAAAAACTCTTGAGTCCTACTTAAGCCAAGTTTGTAAGTTTTCTTGAAGGATACAGTTGAACTTGTTAACCAATTAAATGATATCAATATTAGGGATAAGACAATATATTCTTTTGATGTGGATTCTTGGTTTATTAACGTACCATTGATTAAGAACATTAGTATTTTTTGTGACTATATATCTTCCAGCAATCTTTTACTCCTTATTCCCATTACAACTCTCAAAGATTTACTATTATTATGTATTAATAACGTCCAGTTTCAATTTGAAGGCGAACATTTTCGAAAAATTGATAGCGTTGCGATGGGTAGTCCTATAAGTTCCCTGCTGGCTGAAGTCCATGTCATACATCGAAGAGTAAGCCGAAGAATTGACTGGAAAATCTTGCTTTTATAAGAGATATGCAGATGACACTTTTGTTGTTTGTGGAAAACGTGAGGACTGAATACGCCAATTAGAGAAAATGAATAATGCACAAGACCACATTAGACTCACTTATGAAGAGGTGGATGACAGATTACCACTCTTAGACATACTGATTAGTCGAAGAGGGGATGGCTCAATCAGAAAGTCTAACTACAGGAAGCCAACTTGAACAGGACAGTACTTTAGTTGTCATAGTTACTGTCCAGTCCTTTACACATGTGACTCAGTCAGATGTTTATTTAATAGAGTTGTTTGAATTTGTACAGATGATATAGAAGAAATAGAAGCCGAATTCCTAAAGGATATATTAGTTTATTTTATCCAGCTCTCATAAACACCTTATGGTTTTATTAAACTATCACCTCATAGTGTTACATAAGCTGTATAACCGTTTAAGTAATCAGTTATTGGGAATGGAATTCCAGTAACAATTGATTGAATGATTAACATTCTCGACTGAGTTCCCCAACTATATGACAAATATTGTTAGAAAACTGATAAGCGAAATCCTAATATTGTCGATATATAATTCCTCAAATAAGTACACATAACTGTAGGACCATAAAAAATTATCGAAAAGAACATTCTTTGTTCACTCAAATGGCTTTTGAATTATAATGAGAATTTTTAATGAGTCGAGACGTACACTTATTCTAGGGAATCTAGAGATACATTGGAAAGCCATCATATAAATGAAGCCATCGATAATTAATTCTGATCCAGTTTACAACTTACAACCACCATGGTCACCAAAAAGTTGGGACGTAGCTGATTATCCGTGTATCCTCCTGATGAATCAACCGAGTCTCTATAAATTCCTCTGTTATAAGCTAATGAAGGATCTTCTGTGTTTTGTGGGATCCAAAAATGAGCTTCAAAGGAGTTTTTCAGCAAGCTAGTCCATTCTTTCCATGAAAGTTCCTTCCCAGATTGTAATTTAGCACCTGCATATGGATAGTGACTGTAGTGAGTTTTTTCTTGGCTATGTGACTTTTCCAACCAAGATACGACTGCGTACGCTAGTCCTACCAACTCAACTGCAGAACCATCACGAGGTGTGGCTGGTATACCTTGATTACCAGCTTTTAGCGAACTACCCATCTTGTCCATCCATGTGCCACAATTAAAAGCGTTACCACCGCGAGGAAATCCAGTTTTCAGATCAATACTGGCTTGAACCTATAAGAGGAAGATGCAAAAGAAACTTGGATATAATTTCCAATCGTTTCTTAAATCAAAGTATTTACAAAATGTAGACCAGCTGTATGATTTTATGCCTAGTGTTACTATCCATCGGAATTTTTCTCATCTTAATTAATAGGATTGCATCAAATTTGTATGACGAAGCAAATATGCTTTCCCGGATCTTTAATACTTATACTACTTGATACATCCTCCAATGCGTAGTTAATAATTATTTTCAGCTTTTAGGAGGTTTTATGTTGTTACCCGTATTATTGTTCGAGCTCAAGTGAATAAAAAAATAGCTCACCCGGGGGACAGGCACATCCAGCTGACGAGTTCGAAACAGGACGAAGCGTACGTCCTGGACTCCACTGCTAGCCACTGCCCATCATTAACCTTAGAGGTTTCACTTAATAAATATTTTCCAAGTGTTAGTTTGCCTTAGAGTAAAATAATACTACATGTAACACAAGTAATAACTGACCTTAAATCCTTCCGGTTTCATATATTCATCTAAATTTGGTCCAGCATTTCTCTCAATAAACTCAATACCTGCAATATGACGTTGCAAAGCTTCTTGCATTACTTCATGTAAGGGTTGAACAGAATGACTAGATGTTGAATCCGACATATATTCATCGGGCCAGCCAACTGCATCATCATTTGGAAACCATCTGTAGACTGGACGATTTAAGATACTGTCAAATTTGTCAGTATCGCCTTCTATACGACCTTCTACTCTGTTAGAAACAATTTGGTGGTAAGCCACAATAGAATATAACCAATACCAAATTGCATCACGACAATTATACCTTGGCTTAACAGTGTAGCCATCTCCGATAAGATTAGGTATTAATCCATGTCTTAATAAACTGGCATAACTGAGGATTATATTAGCAGCATCCTGTTGACAAAATATTTGAACAAAACATTTTTCATCAAATCAAATATGAAACATCTCAACAAAAATGCATATCAAAATAATCACATGAGTTTACTGGATACGGTATAAAGTGATGTGGTATTCTTTACCAGATGACTTTGGGTTGCTCATAATCAAACACAACTTCCTAACTTGGCTTTATGGGTCTACTGCTTTCTTTTCTTTCACTTCAGTGGTACGTTTTTTCGTCTTAGCCTTCTAACGTGTGTAACTTTCCCACCTAATATAAACGAAAAGAGTGGATATATCTTTTAGCTCACAAAGTAGCCAAGTTACGCAGGAAATTTTGATACTATTCATTCAACCAATGGTAATATTACAAGTGCAGGAAAGGGGAGCGTTCAGAAACCACATTATCACCATTTGTCTACACCATTTAAAGTAACCATTTCGTTTTTAAAAGCAATGAAAACCGAAACTGCAACTTTAACACCTAAAAATATCCCACCGACAATGGAACAACATTATACGTGTACACAGATAAAAAGCTTCGTAAATTTATCGTACTTCACCGAACACATTCACAGTATAGTATATTTTCTATGACAAAGAGTGATTTTTATGGAAAACTGTACAGAAATAATGTCCACATATCTGATCACGTTTAAATGAAGTCTACTTCATTGTTGAAATCATTGGGAATATAGCACTGTGGTAAGTGCCAACAGAACTTATAGGAAGCAGCCTAAACCGAAATCCACATTTCAGGTCATTAGCCGCTAGGGTAGAAGTTTTGGATTGAAACCTTGTTTCATGTTTTTGTGTGGGCAGGAAAAACTTTATTGAACAATTCTGTCTCACAGATGACCAACGAAAATAAGTATCCAACTTCTGACTTAGTGGCTTTATATTCTGAGGAAAACTGAATATAAATGATGTGTTTTTGTCAAATAAAGTGTCTTCCTTACAGTCACCGACTGGACTTTGTCTTTTGATTTTCCCAGCTCAATGAAGAATCAGATTTGAGAGAGAACAGTCTCTGTTTGTATCCGGTCCAAGTGTTTCATTGCGTTAGTAATGTTCTCGCATTTCGTATTATTGTCAGTGGTTATATTTGGGTAATCCGCTCCCCACGAGGTCAGGTTGGTAGTGGCATATACACGTACGTTAAAAAGCAGTTTTATGGAATGAGTACCAATTTGTCTTTTTCTGTGTAGCAAAATCAGAATTTACTGTCATTCAACACAAATTTTTCTAACATATAACTGAAAGTGGACAAAGTAAATAATAACTGTTTTTCAAATCCTCAGTGCCACACCACCTTTAGGGTTCATCTTAGTAGTGTGCATACAAAGCTAACATAAACGACATTGTGGAGAATTATTGTATACAAATGGGATTTATTTTACCACAATCTCCTCTGCAGTATGATTTAAGGGTGGTGAATGATGCAGAAGTCGGGCATATAGCAGTGAAAAATTAGGTGAATCATGGTGTGTGACCAAACGGAAAGTGCTAACAAACTCATTTAGGATAGTGCAACCAAGTAAAGTGGCCACCCTCATTGTACAACTTCACTCCTTATCCGTAAACTAGGCTGGGTAGATCAGTTTTGAATCCCCAAAGTCCTTCATTTCACAAGTACAAAACATGGCAAACATACTCAGATTTCTGCTTAAGACATTCAAGAGACAATGAATTTTTCCAGCTTTTTCGCTTATGTTATCAGCATCTTTTAAGTCAACCAGTGACCTGAGAGCAAAATCGATCCCTGGAAATTTGAAATTATGTAGGGCTATGTCTATCATCATATATATGACAAAGTTAGGTAGGAATGGTGGTTGGGAACATCCTTGTTGTACACTTTTGGTTATCACTACTTCAGATGACAACTCTGCATAACCTTCAACACGGTTCTGTGAGTTCCAGTCAAGAGCTTTGGTTAGCATTAGATATTTACTCGTTACTTCCTTCAATGAGACAGTGACAACACCACTCGGTAGACGAATTCGAATGCTGCCCTCGGGTGACTAGTGTTAGCAAGCCTTCCTTTTCTCGTAGAGCTCCAATTTTGGGTCGGAGGAATGTAGAGCCTAGGATCTCAGACACAAGGTTAATCGTATCGATTCCCCTCTAACTTTCACACGAAAACTGCTCTTCTTTTTCATAAGCGATCAGCTATCTAGACCAATTTGACGGGGGTACCTTTGGCTCCTATGTGCTAGTTAAAACGTTAGTTACTGTTATCCATCATCTATCTCTATCCTAAAACGCTGGTGGTGGCAAACCGTCACATCCTGCTGCTTTACATCTTATCAGGTTTGAAACAGTCTCCTCAACCTCGAGGAGAGTTGAGGTGAAGTATGTACGCCAACAACCTATTCGGACTGGGTGTAGATTTTAGGTAACTAAAGAGTGACTGTAAGTCAGTTTACATGTACTTCAGCTTTCACGTAGTGTCCCACCCAACCGTCATCATAGATATCATGTCCATACTTTTAACGACCACCATCTTCTTAGTGTCAATTATAAGTAATTGTCAAATACTACCTAATGAAGATCCCTTCTCTATCTTCTTTGCTACTGGCAACTACTAAAGATGAATACGAAGACGCTAATTCACAGTGTTCATTCTCCAGTAACGATTTAAACAAAATACTGGAAATGAGGTTTAGTTACGAATGAAGTTTAAAAAGTCATGGCAAAATAGAAATATGAAGTGGATTGACCGATTGACAGAATCAACGCAGAACCTCTCAATGTAGTACACAAAGAATAGGTGGATAGAAAAATTGTGATTTTAAAGTAGGAAATGTCATGTCAGCGAGTAAGCAATATCAAGATAACGGATAGTGAAAATATTCAAGCTTTAGAAGACGGCAAGGAGTGAATACATTTGCGCCATTGTGACCGATTTCCAGCCTTGTCACCAATAAACCTCAACCACTGATTCATTTTCCTCTCGGACACCCCAGCTGGTCTACATCTCCTAACACCGTTCAGACTAACAGTCAGGGACTTCAACATAATCCAACTTCCCCTGGCATGGCACATCAAGGTAGGAGGTGAATCGGCGTACGCAGTACATATCCAAGCCACCTCAGTCGATGAAGGTAATGACCTCATCAATCGACTTGTCTGTCTTGCCTAGGACCCTTTTCGTCTGACCACAGTATGTCATAAGTCTAAAAGACTTTTTCGTCATAAATGACTTCAAGACGCAAAAATAATTTTACATGCACCTAGTCAAGTCAATTAATCACAGCAGTTATTTAAAAGAATATCTAGATGTATTGAAAGAAGAGTACACTTGATCCAGAATGATGAGGAGGCATTTATACAAAGGAATCTTAAGTTACAATAAGTTGATGAATAGAATCCCTAAAACAACAATGGGAAGATAATACACTATAACATGACAAAAAGTAGCCTAGAGCAAAAAAAGCGGATAAAACTTAGTGAAACTGTTAAAGATTTTAGTAATGATAATGAAGTAAGAATATATCTGGACACCAATGTGATTTATTTTTACCTAGATAACCAAGCCTTCAACACAGTTGACTCTTATCATTTTAACGACTCTGAAAAATAGCCTACAACTCCCAACATGTCTCAGACGGATGGAAGCTTCATAAATCAATGTTAGGTTGTTGTTAAACCACTCTTAATTTTTCAGCGTCACCCTAGCTTAGGTGATATGGCATGAAGAGATTGGTAGTGTGTGGCTCAAAATATGCAAAAACAAACCTCCCTTTTTCCAAATTAAGAATAGAAAACCAAATGACTAGGTTACTGCTTTTACTATGTATGTTTGAAAGTGTCCAGACACCACAACATTAATAACTTCTCGAGAATACACTTAATGAATGGAATGTTGAGTATACAAAGCGCTTTTGTAACCGATTGCCTCGTCACACAATGTTGGCTGAGGTGGGTTCAGGCTGGAAAAAGGCCCGAGGTGGCCAGACTAAAACATGGCACCAATGTATGAAGTCTCTGACTGTTGGTTTAAGCCATGTAGGACGATGCAGACTAGGTGGTTGGGGTCCACGGGACAAGAGGAACCAGTGGTTGGAGACCCTAGGTGATATGGCTGAGAACCGAAGTCAGTGGCGCAGATGTATACACACATTATCCTCATCTTAACAACGCTATACCGAATCTCACCATTTTGTCACTCCTCTTTCTTTTCTTTTCGTACTTTATATTTCTTTGACTGCATTCACTTATCTTCATCCTTCACCTCACTACCTTTTTACTTGATGTGCTGATATGAGGTGTGGCAACTCGGACCGTTACGCAGTAATGCCTGGTCCTATGTTGATAATGATGAAGCGCTTTTGTAAAACAAATAATCACATATTTCTATTCCATTTAGGAATAATAGAAACGTTTTGTATGCATCAGATTGATTTCAAATGAGATAGTCGAGCTCTGAAGTGAGCTAGGCAGGCAAATAAACGTGGAACACGACAAAGAAGTGCATAAGTTCAATATACCACACTTCACAGCAACACACAAGGAACAGATGGGTAGAAATTGTGAGGCAAAAGTGTACGAAATGGTAGGGAATAAATAGATGAAGGTCAATGAAAGTGTTCGAGATATAGATGATGAAAGTTGACATACATCTGCTGTTACCAGTAATCTCCAGTCGTTGGTCTTTATCCTCTTCAGGACACCAACCAGCCAATTTGAATCTTCGCATACGGCAACAACAGTCAAATAATTCATGGACTGGCATCACGTCTTGGTCCGTCCATCCTTAGCCTTCTAACTTAGTCATACTTCGGCAAGCATCGCGTATCGACGGAAAAGGAATTAGTAGTTATTCATGCATCTTATAAATACAACCTTGAAGAGAATAATCGTGAATAATTATTTTTCATTTCAATGTGGTATAAAATAAAAAGGCAATAAACCAATCCCAATTGACGTTTAGACCAATTTCACATCAAATATTGTTAATATGGACGTAGTAATTACAATTTCATTTCCTAAGAGTTTATTTTAATAATAGAGGCTAGGGGTATCACTCGACTTGCACGCCAGCATTATTATAATAGGGTTAAATATTGATAGACAAACATTATTGGAATAAGAGTTGGCATTGATGTGTAGTGGTACAACTTGCCACACTTTACATCAACGCATAAAGAGAGAATGCATCAAGATGAAATATAAACAGATAAGGAATAAAACAGCCAAAACTGGCAGAAAGTCATGAAAAGAAACCATGTAGAAATGATAATACAGAAGTTCAATATGACAATTAAGCCGAAGATAATGTATGGATGCATCTGCAAGTCGATGGTGGTGGAATATCTAAATCCTCCTCAAATCCTCCACTTTTAATGGTCATCTTTCATAGCGATATAGTAGAATGGAACGCAGCGAACTGCAGCACAGTACACTCGGACTTTAATAGGTAACCGGATGTAACCGCGGTGCCGTAAGTTGGCGAAAGCTGAAAGAGCCTTTTGTAATTGGGATTTGCATACATGTCAGTGGGATCCAAATAAAATAGTTTTAACATTTATCCTGGAATTAGGTCCGAACTTATCGCAGTGAGTGGTTAAATTACAAAATGTTATGATCAAACTTTTTTCGCGGTGAAAACCATATCAAATGTAGAAGAGCATAAAGATGTGTGTGCGTATTATTATGAAATCCAGTTTTGTTTACTGATGAATTTCAAGTTAATTTTACTTCATTTTACCAGCCCACTGATCTATAGATAGGTAGATAGATATACATAAGTCAGAATACTGGCTATCTTTCACTTTGCAATCACTGAGTCATTTATACGACTGTCAAGTGAAAGATAATTAAACAACAGGCGTTTTTACTTCATTATATTAGCCTATCAGATACGTTTACTCGACAGATCAGCAACCTATAAGTCACCGGTAGGAATCCAGGCATAAGTAAGGCCTTCTCCTACTTTGAATCATCATCATCATCCCTGTATATAAGTCGGATTGATAAGGCAGGGATTTCTCAAATAGTTCCACTGATATATATAGAAATATTAAATCAGTCAGGAAATAAGTTATGTATGTGAAAGTTTCGGTTACATGGGCAATAATAATTATATTTTAAAATTATTTACTTTGTAACTAATTACTCATCCCAACGTAGCGAAAAGCAGACGATAACAGATGTACTCAAACATGTTGACATGATAGGGATTGTAAATAAGTTAGATTTACCTAACAAAATCTATTGACATAATTTTACTATTTAGCAGGTACATCCGATATCTTTGAAGAGCAAGAACATTTTCATTAAGTTTTAAGAAACTAAGCGATTCACCAAGAAGAGAAGTAGAACTGGTGGATAAGAAGTTTGCTTCAAAACCCAAGCAGTGGTAAACATAAATTTTCCATTGACGAGATGGCAAAGGTTTATGAACAGTAATGCCAGTTAACCAGGTAGCATAAATACTGTAACACTTAATTCTTGTATACCTCTGGTCGAGATCCTGAGACGATGTAATGACTGCCTCCGTTTTGGATATGTTATACAGAATTTTGGTGGTCATAGGTCATATGAAGTATGATAAAAAAAAAAGAAGACTATAACCCAGTCAAAGTTGCATATTAGCTTACTTCAAAACGTCCAGTCAAGAGAAGACATCCTCTCAAAGCAATAAAGGTGTCTCTACCCACGAACGCCACATCCCTCAGCAAAATGAGGCAAACCAGCAGCCAGACTGCAATACATTGCTTTAGGTTGCAGATCTTTCTGTTCTGTATTAGATAATATTTGCCCAGGGAGTCGACTGTTTCCAATATAACCATAGAACTGAGTGGTCGCAACTGCTAATCTTTTAGCCAACGAAGAACTACTTCTTATCCAAGGTGCCATTCGTAAAGTAATCTAACGAAAAAAAAGAGGAAAAACAAACAACTTTTTCGAATCTGTGTGAAGTAGTGACAACAATACAGCCGAATAAATCCATACAAGTCCGTATACTGCACGCAGAATCACACGTATTGTTTGAAGTTAGTGATATTAACTAGAGTGTACGTCATTTTGTGCTAATTATTGAATATGAAACTCTTGGATGGTCAGAGTTCATTGATGAGAAGCCCTGTTTGACCTAGGTAGGTTTCGTGCTTGTTTGCACTCGTCACACCAAAACGTATCTGAAAAATCTAGGGATCTGATATCTCCTCGAAGATTCGAACCCACGTCACCCAATTTATCCAGATCAATCCAATAGGAAGTCAATGGCGGCCCGAATAGCTCAGTGATAACGTCGCTAACTGCAGTACTTGGTGATGCACGTTCAATTTTCGGGGTAAAACTTAAATCCTAGCTGCTGTAGATAAGCCTTTGGTAAGGAGTGCGAAAAAGCACGGAAACTAGGCCAAACAGGGCTTCTTGTTGACTGCTTTCAACCAACTAACATCAAGTAAAGTACACTATGATACCAAGTTTCCTACTTTGGTGACTACACCACAAAATAATCGATAGGATTCGGTCAGAAATTCGGACTAGAAAGCATGAAATTGGTTACTCTCTAGTGACCATTCAACGTAAATATCAAACTGCTGATTGACTATTATGAAAAAGCAACAACAGTTTTCCATTTTAAACAAATCTCGAGTGTGTTTATTAAAGTGAACTGAACATAAGGTGCAATAAAATTTTATCTTACTGTCCTAAACTACTGCAAAACAAATGGAAAAATAAATATGTAAAAAAATTAGGTGACTGACTTTACAAAGTTTGTTCTGTTTCATTCAACTTTTAGAGCTTACAAATATCTGAAGCACTGAGTTATTTGTTATGATCAAACTCAAAAGGGTGAACTACTCTGACATACGATTTTTCAGAACTACATATCTATCTACTTGACTTAGTTTTACGAACAGGTCAGCAAAAAACGAGTTTTGTGTTGCTAAAATACAATATAGAAGAAATAAATCACGCCCGGAGGCATACTTTAAGCCTACGTCCACCCATTATTAGCAAGTTCAAACCTTTGAAAAAGCCCATAGATGGCCGGAAAGTATTTAAAGCCAGTTAGATCACTGAGAAGATTCGGAAAAGTTGTCCCTACCATTAAACTGGGAGTTCTTGAAGCAGACCAGTCATGGAGCATCATCATCTCACATTTGACAGGTGCCAGCGAAGCGCATGCCAAACATACTCAGATTTCCACTCAACGCCGTCACAAGACCTTTCATTTTTTCAGCGTCTTCACTTAACAGGACAATATTGTTTGCATACTCCAGGTCAATCAGATGACCTTCAGGGAGCAGGTCGGTTTCTGTGAAGTCAGATGTACTTATGGTTGTGTCCATTAGTATATCTATGACAAAGTTTAATAGGAACGGTGACAGTGAACATCCCTGACGGACACCACTCGTTGGGGTCAATTTACATGACAAATCTTCACAAGCTCTTACATAGATGCATGATTTCGAGTAGAGAACTTTGATTAGCACTACATAATTTCTCGTACAACCTTCATAATCAGACCTTACGGTCGACAGTCAAATAATGTCTTGAGGTCAAGAAATACGCCAAGTGTCGGGTGCCGGTAAATATGCCTTGCGTTCCAGCAAGCAAATAGTAAGTATATGGTATGTAAGAAATTTGTCACATGAGATAAAGCATATTGCATACTAAAAGGGAAGTTTAAGTGTTGTAAACAAAGTGTAGTATTTTGGTATAATCTTCCTTGATATAAATTCCACTAAATGAAAGAACACCTTTATAATGTAACTTTATTGTACTGAACGGCATGTCATCATATACATGACAAAATCGACGAAAGGAAAGACACTTGTGTAGAAGTACAGTGCAGAAGGTAATTTGTATTCTACTCCGTATTTACCAGCTAAGTGCACCTGAAAATATGCAAATTTATTGATTATTCAATCAAATCCATATTGTAAATGTGTATTCACATAATTCTGTCTACTGCATCCACCGTTAGTCTGAGTAAAAATGCTACGGTATTATTTGACTTCGATGGTGAACATGAAAGATCAGATTTATTATTAGGAAATCCTTCAAATATATAGCCGAGCGCAATACATTCAGCACGTTCGTGCAGTAGACAATGAACCAAGTCTATTATGCCTGAGGAGTTTATAAAACCACCTATCTGTGCTGATCCCATGACCCATCAATTGAAAGTCAAGTGTTGTGAGGCCCTAGTTTTGGATAAAACATTGTTATTGATCTGAACATTTTTAACTTGGCGTTCTCACACCATTTTTACGGTATGACAAGTAGTTTATTTTCTGTCCCCATTGTAATGTACTTCACTCATTGGCTAATCTTTACTTTCACTATGTCGCTGTCTTAAATTGCGGACAAGGTCATATGTCCTATGTATACATATTCACGTGTTTTTTGGATTGATTGATTATCATAATCTCGGAGGTATAAACTCTCCCATCACCCAGCTTCAGTCTTCACTCTATTCGTTCCAGGTCGCAGTCAGTGACTCTTGCGTACGAAGTTAGCTGTCAGTTTAGTGTGCGTATTGTACCCGTTCGGAATATATAACAGTGGCGAAGAAGACATAATATCAAGTGCTTAGATCAATGAGACAAAACCAATAGGCAGCGAATATTAAACTGATAACGCAAAATAACTGAAAATAAGATGGATGACTTCAAAAAAATTTAAAACATATTGGACTATTGGATTCCGACTTAGTTGCTTAATGGTAACGTGCTGACCATGGAACCTGAAAGTCCTGGATTCGGCTCCTGAGTAGTCCCATACTCAGACAAAATAGGTGTCCAGTGCTACCAGATTTCCAATGTTTCTCCAACTGATGTCCATCCATAATGAATACTAATCTGAAATCAATAAATGAATTCCCACAAACCTCCAAACTTAATAATCTAGAAAAGGTAGATTTTGTGACGCTTTTTACATCTCGAATTCAGAAGACTGATATAGATGCCACCTTATTGCCTAATTTGAATTGAAAATAAGGAAAGCAATGAGAAAAAGGTTAACTTACTTCAAGATTAACAAATTCAGTGAATGTGCTAGTTAACACTTCAAAATATGCAGGAACCAAGTATCTTGGAATATTTGACAATGGTTTATACATAATTCTTAACAAATTACTCATTTGAACGACTGCATCAGTTATAAGTTCATCTGAATTATGCGGTAGTTTTGCAAGACGATCAGTTAAATAGTGAGCTAACCAGTCACCATGACGAAGATGAGAACAAACTGGATGGCCTAAATCATTTCGATCACGAATTCCTTGAAGAATATTTGAAATACTCTAAATTGTTGAGTATTTATAAAATAGCAACGAAAAAAAACAACACAATGACATTGCATAAAATTTGCGTAAAATACAAATCAAAATTTTACAACAGAAAATATCCTTTTGGTTATCTTTTAACCGAAACCTACTAATCGCATATAAACCGCTTAAACAGACTGACAAAATCAATGTAGAACCTCGCACACAGATGCATCGGTTCAAGTTGTCATAATTCACAGTAGTAAACAAAAATAGATAAGGGAAACCTGGGAGCATTGGACAGCTGTTTCGTCCTAGTATAGGACTCCTCAGCAGCTCCTCAGTTAACAGAAGTTAGAAACATGGACGAGTGGATTCTGACCCAGTGGCTCGATGGTAACGTGCTGGCCACGGAACCTGAAGGTCTCGGGTTCGATCCCTAGCTGGGTCATGGGTGCGCACTGCTGAGGAGTCCCATACTAGGACGAAACAGCTGTCCAGTGCTGCCAGGTTTTCTTTGTTCCTCCAACTGATGTCAGTTTACGATGAATAACAACCTGAAATATTTCCAAATCCCCACAACTCCCTCAAAATTCAAAAACAGATGAGTAGAAAAAGAGTAAAATAAAAGTACACAAAGTTATCTGAGACAATAAGTAATTTGAAGATAACGGTTAGTGCAAATATTCAACCTTCAGAAGATGTCAAGGAGTGAATATATCTATATCATTGTGACCTATTTCCAACCATGTCGCCAACAGTCCTCAACCACTGATTTCCATCATCTCGGGAACTCCAGCCAACCAGTCTACATCTTCCCACATGGCTAAGGCCAAGAGTCCCGGACTTCACTGACTGTTGTTACGACTTCGTCTGGCCACCCTCAACCCTCTTCCAACCAAAGCCCACTTCCACTACTATGGCACATCGAGACAGGCGGTGGGTGGATATATGGAGTACATGTCTAAGCCACCTCAGTCGATGAAAGTAAAATAAGATAACTTACGAAACTATTGTAAGTGGAAAAGATACGCATAAACAGAAAACTACACCGAAAGTAAATGACACACATTGATGAACTAAAGCATATATCGTCTGTTCATCCCAACTAATTAAGCAAGCATTGGAATAGTTAACTAAAAAGATCAGTCCATTCAATTCACTCACAAAATAAATAAAAAATGAGTAAACGAGCAAAAATAAGCATAAACAAAAAATCATAAACGTAAAAAGGTTTTACAAACAGTAAACTAGCTAGTTTCAATAAGTTTAATTTAGCTGAATCCAGCCGATGTCCAAGATTAGCATACATTCAATTTCGATGAAGATTCAATTTAAATTTTCCACAGAATATGCTTCTCATAAGTAATGGCTACATTGTATCACTAAAATCACTTCCATCAAAAAAATTAGCTCAGAGTAGCACATTTTTAACCTTTATCTAATACTTAGAGATCGGAAAATCTATCAGATTTTCATTATAGGCTAAATAAGGTATGATTTTTGTACTCAGCGTACATTATTACAATTTTCAAATCAATCAAAGTTGTTCATATTTCAACTCCAGTCTCTATCCAAGATCTGTGTTATCAGAAATCAGTAGGTGAAACGAGTCATATAAACAGTATTTCGTTAACAAGATGAATTCAATTTATTGATGTGTATTTTTGTTACAACTTCGCTTGTTATTATTCCAAACTTAAATCATTAGATTTTAGTATATGAAATTAAGTCGCTGTAAACACTAGGTGAAAATAGTGTCATAGTAAGAATTATTAACCTACAAACTTTTCATTTAATTCTACCCACTTCCCCTGATAATACCATGCTCCTATAGAAAATTGTTGATTGACGATTACACAAAATCCTACACAATGTCTGAATATCTGACATGAAAATTGATCGATACCGCGAACTGATTCGATTGGTTAATTCTAATAGGATCAAGGTTACCTGCAATTGTCTAATCGATATTTATGGTACAGTTTGATATTTCGCACAACATAATATAATCGACAATAAATTCGTCCTAACGACAATATATAAAGGCAAATATGATTCCATAAATATGACTGTATTTTCTGAATAAAAGCATTTCAGCGATCAGAGATTAAATGAAAAGTGGAAAAAAGTGTCATTGACAGAATTAAATAACAAATTCACAACACATTTTTGAATTGGATGCATTTATGCATTTTACCGGCTAGCAAGACAATGAGTATCAACATAAGACTTGGAATTAGTGGGTAAAAGTTCAATTTGCCATACTTTGTATCAGTAAATCAAGAAATTTAAGTGAAAAATAACGAAGAAAATGATGATTAAAGCTGTAAAAAGATGTAAAAGGAGAAAGAGGAGGAATGCAACAAAAAAAGAAATCCGATATGAAGACCAACATAAGATGTGGATGAATCAGCACCATTGGGATAGGTTTTGAGCCATATTACCTAGTCTTCGACTATCGCATTTGGTGGAATACCCGTGTGAGCAGTGTTGAGGTCAAACGAATAGAACTAGGCGAGATAGGCGAGTTAATGGATTGGACATGTGTTGGGCATGTTAAGTCACCACCTACCTTGACGTGCAATGCCAGGAGGTTGGAAGAAGGCTCAGGGTGACCAGATCTATACATGACCAGCTGGGTAGTGACCCCGGGACGAAATGAATCAGTGGTTGAGAAATCTCGGCGACATGGCTGGAAACCAGTCACAATGGTGCAGATGTAGTCACTCCTTGATATTTTCTAGAGCTTGAATATTCATAATAACCGTTATCTTCAAAGTGTTGATTCTCTTACACAACTTTGTTTACTTTGATATGACTAATTTTCTATCCACCTGATCTTTGTATGCCGCCATGAAGTAGGGAAACTTGAGCCATGGACTTCTATGAGAGGTTCTACGTTGATTTTATGTCTGCCAACCACAGATTTCTGCTGCTTTACTGATCACAGTAAACAAGCATTGGAGAAGAGAACACTTTAAAGAAAATGAATGTTACGTAGATTTACATGCATAAATAAATATATGAGATGTGCCAATCCAAGAGTTGAATTTGATTCGGATAATGACAGTTCTGTTTGTGTACTCACACTTACACTGAAGGAAACGAGAAGACAGAGACGAAGGAAGGGATGTTTATTATTAACATGTGGTACAGTAGTCACCAAATATTGTACACATTGCACTAATGCAGTCATTTGTATTGTGTGCTTCATTTCCTCTTTGGCTTCTATCTTGATTTGCTTTTATTACGCCCGGGTTATCTTTTGCGTTTCTCTTGGCAAGATCCTTAACCATTGCTGGTAATTCCCTATGATTTCTGCCACCTCAACATGTACTACTTATATCCATTCTTATCAGCAACACCCACTACAACATCTGCCAAAAGAATATGTTTGGGTTATACGGGTGCAATTTATACAGATATCTATAATTCTCTACTTATCACAGCCATATATCTCACCTTAGTGGGGGTGCATTTACAATGCAGGATCTCATACTATTAAACAGCAGTGGTATTATAAAGAAATAAAATTAAAACAGGAAATAAGAATTGATTCGAGAATCGGTCTAGTAAAATAAGTTAGAATAACCCTTTACTAGTCTTCAAAGACGGGATGATACAGGAGTTCTTACAACAGCATACGATACATAGCCAAGCCCACATGATCTACACGTCAATGTCTTTACAGCGCCTAAAAGTAGTGTGAAGCACCAAGTTAACATGGCACAGGTAAACCCAAAAAGCTGAAGGTATGAACGTGAATCTCTGATGCCTACCATAGAATTTACAATAAGAAACTTCATTCAAGTGAATCGAAGATGATCAACGTTAACTCAGCGATATGCATGAACTCTATGATTCAGATGGAACAAATGCAGCAGGAATCTCTTTTGGCCATAGACGACAAAAGGAACTGCAGATCCCAACACTTCCCGTACTAGTGATATACCTGAAAAAATTAGGCTTATAAACCGAGGATTTTATGCTCTTTATTTTTCAGATGCCACAATAAGTCAACAATATGGCGTGGTAACTGTGAAATATCAACCGTCCTCACAACTCTGTTGGCCTTCAAGTTTCATCAGATCATCATCAAACTCCCACATCTTTGCCTTCTTTTCCTACATCAAAGCCTTCTGTCAATTTTCCAAGACATATGTCTCACTTGAAATGAACAACGAAAAACAGTTGCAAGCGAATCTCCGGGACAATAATACAGCAGCTACTTTCAAAGAAGAACTGGTTAGACAGTTACCGGAAAACACAACATCACTCATTTTGAAGAATCCTCGCATCAGCAATCTGCTGTAAAACATCGTTAAAGACCGCAATTGACCGTTCAAAATAGGTTGGAATAACTCAGTAAGCTTAAGAAATCCTTCAAAATTAAGGATGAACCTGAATGCATTCCTACAGGCACAGTGAGGAGCGGAAGGAATTCAAATGTGGAGTGTCAAAGAATCTAAGCAATGGTTGTGAGTAATGGTGGGCAGAAAATGTTGAAGAGAGGGAACAGGCATTGGTGATAAGTACAGTAAAAGTAGATAGTTATTAAAATTAGAGCAAAAATCTGGGGTGAAAGAGTCAATGGCTAGGGAGAGAGACCAGGCATCTCTCATGCCTGGTTGGATGTGTGGAAGGCTTCACATGGTCTTCAGCTACTGTACTGTTATCATCTATTGAGTAGGGTTGTGGATGGAACGAACACTGAGGCAAGCCCTCCAACACTCACAAAAGTTGAGAAAGCTGTAGGTAATCTCAAGGGAGGAATAGCAGATAGTCTAGCTAGAACCAGACTAACTGTAACGTAGGGAAATCAGATATGCTCCCCTTTGACTGGTTTTAATTGCTGATTGTCTTAGTCTTCAGAAAGGAGATGAAACTTTTGCGATGGTCATGCGGGAATTATTCCTCTGAACATGGAGTCTAAGATCGCCGTTTCTGTAACCATTAGACGTCTAAGTGAAGCTCAGGAAGAGCGAACTCAGGTAGGTTTCAAACTTGATCTGGGTGTATCGACAAGATCACTATATGGCTGTGGAAGATGACCTTAAAAGTGGAGCATCTGAGGAGGCTTCAGATGTCTGACCACCATTGACTTTGTAGCATAGACAGTATGTCTTGATGCCACCATATTAGTAGTGTAGAAATCAGGCATAGAGTTGTATGTAGAATGGGCGAGACAACTGAAAAGGTTGTGAACTTTTATCAACTCAAATAGCTGGAACATTATGTCTTGCGCTTGGACAGTAACCGATCGTCCACCTGTCGTACAATGTTAGCCGAAGTAGATTGGGGATGAAAGAAGGTTGGAGGTGATCAGACTAAAATGTGGTATGAGTGTGTGAAGTCTTTGCGTGTAGAGAATTGTTGACCTCCTTGGTTGGGGCCAGCATGATAACCGAAGTCGGTGGTTGGAGTCTCTAGGCGAAATAGTTCAAAATCCATGTCAGTGGAGTAGATGTATCCACACATTGATCCTTCTTTCTGTCATTTCAGGACCTTTTACAGCTCTCGATTGTTTTCTCCGTGGTTTCGCTTTTTTCCCTTTAATTTCTTTTACTTTGATATGTTGATTTAAGGTGTGGTAGATCGAACTGTTACACGCAATAATGATAAGTACCATACTGATGCTGACCAACTAACTGATACCGCAGACTTCAGGAAAGATCTATTAAAGTAACCGTGTGTTTTATTCTTAGTGTTAAAACCGTAGCACAACCCTTCAACAAATGATGACAGAATACTTTACAACGAAACAAAGTGTCTGTAAGTACATAAAACAATGAAAAGCCATACACATTATTAACGGAATGGTTATATAATTTCTACCATTTATAGTATGCATTTTATCACTCATCACATAGTTTTGAGTGATGTACGTGAATCAATTGACTTATAACAATAAAGACTGAAAACTTTTCAGTTCATCACATGAAGTACATATGAAGCCAACCAAAAAAAAAAATTATAGAATAGCATACTAAGCTGAAACAGATTTCAGGTCAGTTGAAAAACCAGATTTTTATATGTTAGTAAATGATATGATGAAAATTTCGCAAAACGCATCGTAGAAACATACAAATACATACATTTGAAAAGTTCATTGAGAAACTGTATAAAACTGTTTTATATCTCATGAACGCATAGTTCACTGACGTATACCGAGAAGTAGTTCCATGTTACTGGAGAATTAATTAACCCGTACTAGGTGTTGCCATCGAGTATTGACCAGTACTGACTTTTCGGTGAAGTAGTCAGAAGTTTCCCCTCTAGAATGTGAATAGGTCTCACTGATATAACTGCCAATAAGCACAAAACCTAATTCCTGTGTTAGGGTTTTCTGTCAAATACCTCCATAACTATACAGTAAATTAAATGAAGAAAAGTTTACAATTTACAGGGTTTGGATAACCATACTTTCAAGCCAAATAGGTTTAGAATCGGCGTACATCTTATGGGCAGTTAGCAGTATGAATTTAATACAGGGTTACATCACAAAAAGATACACCCTCGTATAACACCTCCAACTTTGGGGTAAACAGGTTAAAGCAAGACTAGAATGAAACACACAGTTGGAGTTTACAGCACAGTAAGACTACTGGTAAACGGGCTTCTAGTAGGCTAACTAACATTTTGTCGTTAGGGATGTTCTTTAGCGAGAATTAGGAAGACAAAATCAAACAGTAATGGAACAAGCATCGCAATAACTTGTCTTGGTCTGACCATCCTGAAACCCTCTTCCGACTTCTAGCATCGCACGTCGAGGTAGGTGGTAGCTCAACATAAGCAGTGCATGTCGAACTCATCTCAACCAACTAGTGTTAACAACCTCATCAATCAACTTGCTTGTTTCGTCTAGTACCCTTTGCCTAACTTCAACATTCCTCACACGGTGATTCCACTAAACGCGACCAATGCTACAAAACCCTGTAACCTCTTCACGTCAACATAAGGGAACCATTCTCAGGTATACCTAACAATGCCAAGTTTAATTCCAAGGGTTGACAGAAAAATTGAGGTTCTTTTTCTTTTTAAAGTAAATAACATAACTTTTGATACTGCTTTAGATGAAGGTGAATCAGAATCTACAGGGTGGTGTGACAAAAAACAGTCGCAATTACAAATTTAGAACATTATTATCATTTCAGTGTCATGAGCGAATAATTACGCCACCATATGTATTGAACATATATACGTTTTTTTTGATAGTAGTTATCACGGACTGAAATCAGTTGCAGGACTATTGAAAGCCTAGGAGCATTAGACAGCTTTTTTGTCCTATTATAGCACTCAGTACTACCCACTCACAACCTTTTCAGGGATCGAACTCAGGACCTTCAGGTTTAAAGGCAAATGCGTTAATCTTTTAGCCACTGAGTTGGAATTCAATGGTTCACAGTTTCCTACTTTTCTCCATTCGCGATATATATTATTATTATATTATTATATGTCCCTTGGGTTCCTAATGGAACATAGGGCTTCAGTAGCACGTCTCCAATAAGCTCTGTTCTCTGAAATCTTTTGAACCTGGCTCCACGACTGCCCACAAGCTCTCATTTCCTTCTCGCACGATCTCCAACATGTCACTATCGACTAAGACGCCCAACTGGTCGTTTCCCACTTGGGTTCCGCTCAAGGCTCTGGCCTGGCGAGTGATGTCCCCAGTCGGCCTTCTCAATGCATTCCCAATCCATTTGCACTTCCTTCTGCATATTTGTTGGGAGATATGTTCTTGGTTGGTTAGTTGGCAGGCCAGAGTCCCTTGTTGCTTGTTCCTTCTGGCCATATGAGCTTCAGTAACGAGCCAGAGTAGGCAGTTGTTGATGAATGTCTGTAGTTTGTTGGGAATCCCTTTCGTACCGCGCCAAGTCTCCGAACCATATAGAAGCACTGACTTGACGTTGGTGTTTAAAATCCGGATCTTGTTCAGGCTTTGTGCTGAGTGAAGAAGATCTCCACACTGGTTTTCAGATTAATGGACGCCTGTCTTGCTTTTCCGATCCTGGCTTTGACGTCCTCGTCTGTGCCGCCTGATATATATATTTATATATATAAAACTCGATAGGGACAACCATATTTTCCTTATGGTCTGCAATTGTAAGACACAGGCGTTGAAAATTGATGAGATGAGAAAGTTACCAGTTCGAGACCACGAGTCTTTCTAACGTTAGTGGTGTGCAATGAAGCCACAGAGTGAGCACCTTTAAAGTGAAGAGTGATAAACAACCTAGATAGGTTAGTTGTTAATGAGGTTGTCAGCCTGCAAGGATTGAGGTGCACTGTAGATTCACTAATCATACACAGCCATTATTTTCAACCGCGAGGCTAAAGTAAAATTTCTTTTTTCTAAAACTGAAGATCACACTAGAATGTGATGAAAGTCCATACAGTCTCTGATCGCTGCCAGTAAGCCGTTTGAATGAGGTCCTTGAGATGGCGTCAAGATTCGATAATGCTATAGTTACTAACAAAAATTACTTTATCTCAGACGTAGTCATTAGAAATTGAAAATGCAAGGTGATAAAAGAAAGCAACTAACTTATTCGTCAATATACACAAAAGTAATAATAATCCAAATGAATAACACCGAAAATATTCCCGAAGACAGTCATTAAGTAGGTGGAATATAATTAGGAGTCAGGCTGAAAATCAATTACAGTGGCTGTTTATCTACACAATCTCATTCGTCCTCACTGTATATATCAAGTGGAGTGTAGAATTCTGTGATTTATGATGAACTGCATTTAATGCTGCAGTAGTAAGTAAAAAAATCAAACGACAGTGAAATACACTCACCTGAAGTCCACAGTAGACCAAAATACCCCAATCAGGTATCAAATAATTACTAAAATTACATCCATCAGCCAACTCTTCAGCAGAACATCTGAAAAGCAGTTATTCAGCTCTAATAAATTAAGATTTCCCAACAGAACTCTGACTGAATTCGGCTTTATTAAACACTCCCCAGATGGTAAGCACAAGGGGATGTAAGCATTTTCTCCTTTACCCATTGCTTGACTTGTTCGCGGCTCGTATAAACGACAATCGAACTGTAGATTAAAGAATCACTGTTAATTAGATTAAAGATTGTGTAAATAGTATTGTATGAATTTATAATAACTCAAAATGTTTTTTACAAAAGTCTCAAAATTCCACATATCCACAATTATAGTCAGCTGTTGTATTTCTATTGAGCATATGCAGTAAACAGAGAACAATAAGTGTACTCATCAACGGAATAACAAGTAAGGGATAAAACCAACTTGCTAGCGAATACTGAATGGAAGTTAAGCGATACATTTGGTAGCCGATGACGATGTTTCAAGTCTAAAGCTTAGTAGTATCCTGAAAAATGGGAAAAAGTAGCTATGTATTGATCGGGCTACGTACGAATCAGACTTAGTATGTTAAAGATATCAATAGCACTCGATTATTTATGATGTAGTCAACACTGAAACTCACTACCTAATAAGTCAAAGTCATACAGTAACGGTTTTTTTTTAGAATAAAGAAATGATCCTCCGGTTAAGATCAAGTAATTGTCCCGTGTTTATTCACACAGATGCTGCACTTTTTGAAACCTTTATTCCTTGATCACTCATTAAAGTTATTTCTGTCCGATATAGAGGATAAGTTTATCAAACCTATATCGATTCTTTTATTGGGATGATTAAAACTATAACTAAATAATTTCTCAAATCTTAACCACAACAATGACAAGTGTCTATCGTATCAAAATGAAACATACCTCTTGCTCAAAATCGTATCTTTTTCGTTACAATTATAAAAAACCATTCATGAACAATATTGTAGAACTACACAGTAAAGAGTGTTCTTGAATTTGGATGCCGGAAAGTACAAGCAACTGCAACGAAACGCACTCAGCCTCCTCGTGTGCAAGTCCGTGAAGTAGACTAAATGAGTCACATCTATTGTGTGAGGGCAAGTGATCGAAATAGATTCAACTGAAACTAAATCAAGATGATAGCCTTTAGTAAACTGCTCGATCGAAACGCTGTTCATTATGAACCCAGAAAATTGCAACACACAGCTAAGAAATCACTGATAAACATATTTGTGATGTGAATCATGAGAAGCTTCAAACGTTTTCAAATGCTTTCGAAAAGTCAGATGTAAAATTGCGGTCATAATAATTGGTAACTTGAAAGCATATATAGACAGCCTGAGTCGACAAAGAAAGCACCATTAGGAAACACTTAGAACCTTAATTAACTCCTAGGAACTAATGGCGGCAATCACCACTTCTAAAAACATTTGTTGCAGTGCTATACCAACTCTCAGGAAACAGAAAAATAATACTAAACTGAATAACTAAATCAACGTAGAACCACGTACACAGGTACATCGGCTCGAGTTTTGATACTTTATGGCAGTACAAAAACAACAGGTGCAGATAAAAAGAGTGATATCAAAGTAAACAAAATTGTGTAAGAGAATCAACACTTTGAAGATAACGGTTAGTGCGAACATCCAAGCTTCAGAAAATATCAAGGAGTAACTGCATCTGCGCCATTGTGAATGATTTTCAGCCATTTCATCAAGATTCCTCAACTAATGATTCATTTTGTCCTGAGGCCTCCAGCCAGCTAGTCTACATTTCCCCTAAATGACTCAGACCAACAGTCAGAGACTTCATCGACTGCGCCACGTCTTGGTCTGGCTACCCTAAAGCCTCTTCCATTCTAATCAAACTTCCAACAAAGGTAGGTGGTGACTCGACATGCGCAACACATGTCCAAGTCATCTCAATTAACTAGTGTTAACAACCCCATCGATCGACTTGTCTTTCCTACCTAATACCCTTCACCTGACTTTCATTCTCCACACGGTGATTCCACCAAATGCAAACAATCCTACGAAGACAGTGTGATCAAAAACCCTGTAATCGCTCCATATTTTCTACTCTTAACGGAAACGTCTCACATCCGTACAACAGAACAGAACGGACCACAGCGCAGTACACCTGTCCATACATAAATAATCAGATATCTCCCCAGTCGGCGTCACAGGTGATCCAAGTTAGCATATGCTAAACGGGCGTTCTATATCCCAACTGTGATCGCGTCAGCAACCAGCAACCAGTTCGGGCTGATGCAACTCTCCAAGTAAGTGAAGTGGTCAACACATTCCACTACTTCACTCCCTACCATTAAATTGGGAGTACTTGAAGCAGACCAGTCATGGAGCATCATCATCTCACATTTGACAGATGCCAGCGAAGCGCATGCCAAACATACTCAGATTTCCACTCAACGCCGTCACAAGACCTTTCATTTTTTCAGCGTCTTCACTTAACAGGACAATATTGTTTGCATACTCCAGGTCAATCAGATGACCTTCAGGGAGTAGGTCGGTTTCTGTGAAGTCAGATGTACTTATGGTTGTGTCCATTAGTATATCTATGACGAATTTAAATAGGGGCAGTGATGACTTAGGTTTTAATCATATAAATGTTAAAAATTAACGGTACCCATTTGATTTTACACACTTTTTCAACAATCTTTGCTTTCAGCTCAGTGTTCCACTAACTGGGCGGGAAATCGACAGTTCACTAGTTTGTGACGCATATTACCCTCCAGTCAGCATTCAGTGTCAGTAATACAAGTATGCAAACCATGGTTATCGCAAATGCTGAAACTGCTAATCTTTACTTTATTCAGTCTGTCCCCTATATTTTGTTCAAATTCTGTACCGGTTAGGGTTAGACCCACGTCCTCAGCCTTCTTTCATATTTGAAACGATAACTGTACTGTATGAAAAAATAACAACACAAGCAAGCAACCGAATTAATTATCACTACATAAACAACTAACCTGTTGTGACATGAAATTATGCAAATCGGCAATAGCTTGTTGTTGATTATCATCTAGTTTAACTGATACAATAACCACTGATCCGGGTGGGAAATTATGAAATACTAAGCTATCCACAGTAACACCATATTCATCTTGATAACTTTTCACGTGAAATGTCTTACTTTCACTAACTGATACATTCTCCAAAATTGAACAGCTTGTA